AGCAGGATCACTCAGGTAAATGATTATATAAAATTATATTTATATTATTATTATTTATTACTTATTACTTATTACTTATTACTTATTACTTATTATTTGATTTACCATTTATTTATTTTTTTATTATTCATTGCTTGCTTTATCATTTATTGATTTATTTTAGTTTATCAATATTAGAGATTCAGATAAATTTTGGTGGGAAAACAAAGAGAACAACTTGTTTACTGATGAAGACAGAGTTACACTTAGAAATACAACATTTAGAGACATTATTATACGTAATTTGGATGATATTTCTCGTCCATCAATTCCACTAAATATTTGGTCAGTTCAACCAACACAAAAATTGTCTCAGTCATCAAAATATCTTAATCGTATTGCTTTATGGCCAACTTCATATGTTGTTAGTTACGACATTGTTGAAAAAAATATTAATTTCCAAGTTCAAATTTTGACTACAGATGGTAATGCATGGTTTGGAATGGTAAGTTAGTTATTTAGTTGACAATGTTGTAATTATTATGATGATTGTGATGAGATTTATAATATATATTTAAAAATAAAACAGGGATTTGATCCTGATGATACTGGAATGACTGGAGCAGATTTTGTAATTGGAATTGTGAGTTATTTTTTGCTTTATGATCTTGTAAAAATTAAACATAAAACATAAAACATAACATTGAAATTTTTGTTTTTTAGATTTCAAATGGAAATGTATCTCTATCAAACTATCGATCTGCTCCAACTGGTTACAACCCTCCTATAAAAGATGATGACCATTCAGATTTAACAATAATTAATGATCCACCTCCCATTGTAAATAATTTTGCAACTATTGAATTCTCAAGACCTTTGGTACCTAATGGAAGAAAAGGGATTAGAAGTGGACCTATGAAATGTAATTTATTTGTTTGTTGATAATTTTACAAAAATATTATAAGCTAATTTCTCTTATTCTTCTTCTCCTAACAATATTGATAACAACAATAATCCAATTATATTTGATGGTTTTTAGTTGTTTTGGCTTATAACCCAGGAAGTTCAGTACTTTCATATCATCAAAATAATCGTCAAATGACACTATATGATTTTTATAATAATAAATTTTCACCATCCATATCTAATGGTCAAAGATTAGCAAAATTAGCTCATGGACTTGGAATGTTCCTAACTTGGTGGTATGATATTGATATTAAATACATGTTAAATATTAAAGACATTTGTCTCACATTATGAAAAAATCATTAATTATCATTTCCATGTCATTTCCACCCATATCAATTCCATAATAGTGTTCTATTTCCCATTTCTATTTATATTGTAAGATATTACAAACACACCAATAGTTACATCAAGATACATCGATTTCTACAATTGTTTGGTAGTATTTGTATTTGTGGTTTTGGTGCAGCATCTATGGCAACAATTAGTCCAAAAACAATTCATTCATGGTTGGGAATATCAATATATGTTTTGTTATTTGTTGAACTT